TGGAAAAAAAAAAAAAAAAAAATATAAATTTTTTTTTTTTTTTAAAAAAATTAAAAAAAAAAAAAAAAAAAAAAAAAAAAAGGCTGATTCTGACTTTGGGGTGGGGGGCGGAAACTATAAAATTTTTTTTAAAGATTAGATTTAATCTCTAAGCTTTGAACAGTTAACAATACCAGTGTTTCACAAAAAGTACTGGTAGCACCCCATAAATATTCCAGTGATAGCTGCAGTTAATTTCCTGTTCCAATTGATGACGAGTGTTTACTGGAGTGCTGTTTGTTCACTCAGAGCTGACCTAACCCTCGAATGAGTGTTTACAACCACCTGACGGTACATCACCTTTGGCGGATTTTGTGGGAGAGTGAAATATTTGTTGTGACTGTATTCTGTGATGGTGCTGTACCGTTTGGGTTCCACTGGTCCTCCCCACCCAGCAGCAGCAGGAAGTTCTCCACCTCCACCACGCAGTGATGAGCGCTGTTGTAAGGCATTACTGAACGGCAAACAGAAAAACAGGTCAGTTACTGTAGTGTGTGGTGCAGCGTCTATCATGCTGCATATTACACCTGGTCTGATGTTCTGGTATTTATAGTCAAGCGAGTAATTTTTTTTTTTTTTTTTTTTTCCAAGGTTTTTACGTGTTTCAGAAAGTTAAAATTAAAACCTATTAATTGCATGGAAGCAGTTGTGAAAATTGAGATTTTGCAACATGTTGATATTGAGATGAGAACAATGACTCAATAGTGCAGCTTTAATTATTGCAGAGTTGGTGTTCTGCTAAAATATGCCACAGCAGTAGATCTTCCAGAGATATGCTATGTCGCTCCAATGAAGATAAACTGCAGAATATCATGGTCTTTATTTTAAAAAGTGTTTGACGTTTCCCTCACTGCAGCTGAGGGAGGATTTTTCTCCTATGTATGTTTTTGTGCTCCATGTCTCTCCTCCGTCTCCTTCTGCTGAAGTGACCCCATTGAGATGTAGAGAAATGGTCTTAGGTGACAGTCATAATGAACATGATCGTGTTCACTCAATAAATCTCGGGCCCGGTGCTTTTTGAGCACAAATCAGTGAAATGTTAAAGCCCACCTGTCTGTCTCCATCAGTCATTTCCACTGTCACCTCCCCACCGCCTGATGGATCACAGTTGCTGCAAAATTAGACAGCCTTGAATCTCATTTCTTTCCAATTGGCCTCTCCCTGCAATCTCACTCAGGCTGGATGACATGTGCCGGTCCTCGACGGGAGGGGAAGTCTCAGATAGGAACTAATGCTACATACGCTAAACACAGCTTTATCTCAGATGAGGGGGATTAGGCTGCCTGCCTTCAGTGCACCTCAAAGAGAGGTTCCATACAGCTGCCAAATTCTCTCACATGGTATTTACATTATCATTCAGTCAGCAGTATATAGGACACGGATCGGCAGCTTTTTATTTAGCATCTAGTGCCTGTACATGCAAAAAAAAAAAAAAAAAGATCATGTACTGATACAGAAGATTATTGGTCTACAATGTCTAAGTGTCAAAGTTTAAGGTATTCTAAGAAGATCTGAAAGATTCTGGTGGATGTTGAATATGAGGAAAATAAATAATAAGACAGAAGGAGAAAGCATACCAATCATGACTCCCTTATGGAAATATGACCTTGTTTCCATATTTTTTTGTCACACCACCACTATACAGTTCAAAATGTTTGACTGGAGCTGTATGAGCTACAGCAGGTGTCCAAAGAGCCAGTTTTACTTTCAGTCCAGCTAAATCAGTGGTTTAGAGCCACTGTTAGAAAAAGACAACTTGTTATTTTTGATATCTACTATAGGAAAGTGTTATCTTTTTTAAAGATAACACTTTTTTTTTTTGAAGAACCATCTATTCATTTCTGTTATTTCTTTTTTTATTACTAAAGAAAAACAACACTTTTTCAAAGAGAGGATTTATCCACTTGGTCATACGTGGAAAATATGTGAAAATAATTCATTAAACGAAAGCACATAGTGGCCAACCTGATGACAAGAAAAATAGATCTAAAATTATATTTATTTCTGTCATTTTGTGGTGGAAATTAATTGTGGAAATAACTGAAAAACTGTTAAAACAAGCATTTGTTTTTATTTTTATGTTAAAAATCAACCGTTGGTTCTTAATAATGTTTTAGCTAATGCTATCTAGAACCAATGTTGGTTCTTTCATTGTGGGATGAAAGAACCACTCACAGCTCTGAAGCCGCAGGTTGCAGACCCCTGTTCCAATTATAAGTAATAAAATAATTATGAAATAATACATTGTGTTCCTTTTTCCCAAACAGAAATGTGAAAATTTGGTGTGCATACATACTGAGCCCCAATAAGCAAAACTGAGTGCAACCAAGCAAAAATTGCACTGTTGCTGCTGTTCTGTGAAGGCCTCAGAAGATTTTTTTAGAGAAGAAGACTGCCTCATAAAAACGAAGGAACACAGCAGATAGGTCAGGGATAAAGTTATAGAGAAGTTAAAATAATAGCTTTAAAGGTCTTACAAGCATAGTACAGATTGTCATCTGGAAACTTAAATAATATGGAACAATTGCAAATCTACTAATATATGCCAGTCCACCTAAACCAAAAATCCTGGCAAATAATTTGCAACCCAGGTTGTTGGGGAAAATGTTGACAGAAGAACTTTAGCTTTTACGAAATATAGACAAGGAGAAAGACAGTGTTTTAAGAAAACCATAAAAAGAAAAATCCTTCTGTAGTTTGTAAATATGTAGAAGAAAGTTCTTTGGTAAGATGAGGCCAAAACAGCCGAAAATGTAACACTGCACATCACTTTGAACAACACCATGAAACATGGTGGTGGCAGCATCATGGCGTGGGAGTTGTTTTCTTCATCAGGGTCGGAGAGGTTGGTCGGAGGTGAAGGTAAAACGTCTGGAGCTTAAAACAGGGCAATTCTGAAGGAAAACCTGTTAGAAGCTGAAATGACTTGAGAGATGAACGGATGTGCATCTTCCCTAGACAAACACTCTGAGCTGCAGTGGACTGGGTTTAGATTAAAGCATTTTTGTGTGTAAGAATGGCCCAGTCAAAGACCAGCCGTAAATTCGATTAAGATTCTTTGGTGAAACTTGACAACGGATGGTCTACTTCTAATCGAGCCGAGCTTCAGTTTGTTTTTCTTTTTTTTTGGGGGGGGGGGTAGTTTCAGTCTATCAGTACACAAAGCAGTAGAGACTTTCCACATAAAAAGCATCAAAAGGTGGTTTTACATAGTATTAACTGAGAGCAGCTTGGTCTATCCCATACAATTCTCTAGAAAACACACTGATGTTTTCAGCAGTAATGTAACAAAATATTAAAAAGTTCATAGGATATAAATACTTTTGCAAGGTTCTCTCTCTCTCTCTCTCTCTCTCTATATATATATATATATATATATATATATGCACACACACACATGTCTGGCCATTTGCTCCCTTCCTTTTACTGACCCCTCTGGGTCAACAGCCATTCAGGAAGCAGAATAACCAGGTGCACTACAAGATGGGTATCACTGCTGTCTACAATAAGCTCTAGGGCTCACTAGAGGGAGTCAGAAGCCTCTGCATCGAAGCCACAGTGTTGGCTGGTTGAATGATTTCACAGCTAATGCACCACTGCTGCTTATGTGCCTTTGACAACAACACGATCAAATCATGCTAAGGAGAATCCCTTTGTTCCACAAGGAAACATACCACCGTTACAATCCTTTGTTTTAGTTTTTCAGAGCAGGTTGTTTTAAGAAAGGGAGACAAATTTTGCCCATTAACGTAGGCTGAATCCCTCCCTGCCTTTGTCTTGTGTTCGGCCACGCTGCTGTGGGTACACTAGATGGCAAACTTTCCACTAGAATCGGCAAGCAGCGGGCATCTCAGACACAGCGAGGGGAATCAGATTCTGCCTAAATTGTGTTGATGAATGTCTTAATCAAAGGCTGTCCCTCTCAGGTTTCGCCTCATTGAAAAGTTATGATTGAATGTTAATAATCTTCTATTCCACATCCATTGTGAGGAAGCTACATCAGGTGGTCACTGATGTGTTAAGGGGATGATTTTGCAGTTTTGTCCTTCCACTTGGCCACGGACCATTTGAGTGTTAACTTTTTAGTCGTGAGCGTCAGAAATCCCTGTTGACCTTTTGCTTGTTGCAGTTTATGCCTGCGAGTGTGAGTTTAATGAGAAAATGACAATATATACGCCAGTGAGCTTCATATGCATGCCTCCGCTGGTAAAAATGAACCCTTACAGACCAAAAATGAGCTTAAACAGCTTTTTTTTTTTTTTTTTTTTGCCAAGGCAGCTTAGGTCTCATAACAAGGTGAAGATGAAAAGAAAAACACAAATTAAAACAGATACACTTATGTTTGAGCCCCTCCACCCACCTCAAAGAGACAAAACACAGCAATGTATGATATGTATGAATGGAGAAAAGCAGCTGAGATATGACTCCGACAAAAACAAGGGACAAGAACTCAATATGTCCAGCGATGAGGACGCAAAGGAGAAATGTAGTTTCCCAGTCGCTCTGCTCTTGACCTTTGCAGTGTGGCAAAGGTCAAGAGTGGTGAGCCTCAAAAGGTCAGAGAAGACAGCGAGGTAGCAGACATATGGACACTCCATAGAGGTGAGAGCAGTATGGATGTGTTTGCACATTCCCAAAGGTCTCAAATATCTCCTGTTGAGAACCCAACGTTTCTTCAAAGGGACACAAAACATGACAAGTTTGTTTAAAGATAACAATTCAATTCATATGTCTCTCATTTGTGGTATCAAGCCAATTAATATGTGCATTAACTCAGCTTGCAAGTGACACAAGGTCAACAAGTTGACTGCCACCCCATGCAGCAGTATGCACAAGTGTAATTTAATCCAACCATTGATCAATGCGAGCAAAAAATCATGTTACATTTAGAATCTATCGAGGGCAGATGTCATTTCTTATTGTTCCGTCTCTGCCTGCAATAGATCATTAGATCCAAGCAAATCTCATCATGCATCCCGCCAGCGTATTTCAGCAAAAACAAGGGAACCCGGGCATGAAGCTCCACAATGCTGTGAAGTCACGCTCTGATTAAAAACTTATATTAAAAGTGATGGTGATACATTATTACCTGAAGGATTTAGGGAACTCCTTACTCTCATTTTCTGCGGAAATTAACCCGTGTTAAAGTCATCCACAGGAACAACTATTTCTCATCGTAATAGCCACTGAAACAAGACGCCTCGGGTGCAGAGGAGGCGAGAGCCTTTTTGCAAACTCACTTGTGAGGATCTTCCATGTCTTTTTCTCGTCGTCATAGTACTGGACCAAATTGCTGGGAAGACGATCGGGTCCAGGAGGCAAACCACCCACCAGGAGCAGCATTCGCTTATTGGAACGGATTCTGTAATGCCAAAGGTGGAGGTTTTTCGAAAAAGAAAAAAGAAAAAAAGCATTCAGGACATTTTTTATTATCATTTCATATAAAAAATAAAAAAAAGCTTTTGCTTTGACTTTTAATTTCAATCTCCCCATAGCATGAGGTTATAATAAACCTTGTGAGCAAATTCATTACAATTAGCTGAATTTGCTCAATTGCCTATATATCCTTATGATGTGTTACTGAATGGTTATTGTACACTAAAGATGTGTTTTCAATTAGCTGTGAAGCGAGGATGGTCCTGCAGGGTGCCATGCTGGAGGCTAAAAGCACAGCACAGAACATAAACCTGACTATACACTGTCTCCATTTCATTGGCTACAGTCGTTCATGTGACTTCTCTAACCCAATTGTTGGACGTTTCCTGCTTTTTGTAGATCAAATATAACCTGAACGGGGGCACCCTTTACTGCAAATTAATTACCATTATTGGATTCTAAATTTCCATCAGTGCAGTTCTATAAATTTATCGCAATATGCAACGAAAACAATGAATGTAGCTTGTTTTTTTTGTTTTGTTTTGTTTTTTTACACTTGGGTAAATCACTGTTGTTTCAGTATATGTCGGAATATATGGAAGCCCTACAGAAATGTTTTTGGGGTAATTCATATGCAAATGAGGTCTTGGACATAAATAATAGTGATTAATTGAGAGGAGAGAAACACTGCCATATTAAACTAATTATGAGGAGTCTTGATTTGTTGCACATTTGGGTGACTATGTGGGAAAAGATTTATTTGGACAGGGAAGGAATAGACATAGGTTGCATTATGTTAAAAAAACAGTAAAGTATAAACACAGGACTAACATTGATTCTAACAAACAAAAAAATTAATAATCTTAAAGGAAAATAGAGAAGTTTTATAAAATCACTCAACTTATTGCAAACGCAAGCTGCTTCTCAAACTGCCAATCCAGGCAAACATGAACATAATGTGTGGATAGTTTCACATAAATACTACATAACTTTCCCCACAGGCTAAAGAAATTGCTATAATAAAATACACAAAATTAGCATTAACTCTTGTTACATTTTTTTTTTCATGTAATTTCAATTCCAGGAAAACTCTTTCACTTGGATCATAAATTTAGTGCAATTACCATGTAATTACCATGGCAACAACTCAATTTCAGCATTCAAGGCTCTGTTTAATAAAGCCGCTTCCAATCAGTCACAGAAAATTCATAAAGATTTTGACATCTCGTCCACATTCATTTAAAATGAGTAACAAACATTTGAGGAAATAAAAAAAGGTTGTTTTGTTTTACATCTATCTTAGTTTGACACATGTCCACTTTGCTGTTATGAATGAAGTGCAGTAGAGAGTACATTAAAGCTCTACACAGCTGTCTTGTGTCAGAGGAAACGCCCCCACCATCTTCATAATCTGACCATCAACCCTCAAAGGTCTAACTGGTCTCGTACGCTGTAGTTTCATTTGTTGTTACATTTCAGCACCGTAATTACTCTCACATCCCGCAGTTGTTTGAATTAATGTCTATGAGCTTATATCTCTCTTTTTTTTTTGCCTCTGTTATCCTCACCTGCTTGCCATGGTCTGCCTGCAGTGCTGTCTGAATGGCATCAGGTGGTAGTTCATGGCATCCAGCAGCAGTTTCTGGCACACGGGGTCACTCCTCATGAAGTCCACAGACTGCACCCTCTCCACGAGCTCTGGGGCGGGTATGAGGGCAAAGCGCAGCCTCTTCATGAGGTCCGGAGCGTAGTGCATGCGCGTCTCCCGGTCATGCTCCAGCCAGAGGACAGACATCTGGAAGAGAGCCAGCTCTGACTCCACTGGCGGAGGCAGAGCGTCCAGCATGGCACACATCTCCTCAAAGTTCAGCAGCAGTACATCCTCCACCAGGTACTTGTTGGCCAGCTTCTTGGTCTCGTCGAGCCCGTGCAGTGCAGCAATCTTGCAGATTTGCTTGTAGTTCTGCACAGAGATCTGATCATTGAGGAACTGCACACTTAGCTTGGTTATCTGGGGGATGTTGAGGATCTTGCTGACTGACAGCACCTCTTCCACTGTGTCCAGGGAAAGAGTAACATTGGCAGTGTAGAGGTACTCCAGCACTAGCCGTAGTCCGATGGAGGAGCAGCCCTGCAGGACCAGGTTGTTGATGGGCCTGGCACTGGTGGTCACCAGCTTGTCGTCTGGGGAGGACGAGGGGGTCCCACTGCTGCCCTGATCCCCCTTGCTTCCCTCATTGCTAATCACATTATGGGAGGAGAAGAGGGATCTGAAATACTGTGAGCAGGATGCCAACACAGCTTTGTGGCAGTGAAACTGCTGTCCCTGGGCAGTTAGAGTCACATCACAGAAAAGCTGCTTTCTCCACAGGAGGTTGAGCCCATGCAGCAAGGTGTCACTGTGCGTTGGGTCAAAGGTGGATGTTCGATCACCCGATCTGGACATGACTTCCTGATTGTGAACGCCACCTAGGCAACAAATAAGCAATGCAAGCCATTTATTTACACACCAAACATCTGCACCACAAGAGATTTCTCAGCAAGTTATCTTCCATCCGAGCAGCGGGTTAGGAAAACCTGCCGCCAGCGCGGCTTCTGGCGCCTCCAACTTTGGGATCTTGGTCGTAAAGCAGCAAACAGAAACGCAGCAGTACTTCCCACAAAGCGCCGCTCTTATGCATGCTCAGCTGAAGTGCGAGCTGCTTTTAGAGCCGGGGACGGAGCTCGGCGTGGAGCCGAGGGAGCCGGAGACGCTGCGGCGCTTTTCCTCTCCTTAACGCGGCTGAAGTTGTCGAGGGGAGCCGGAGGGGGGGGGGACGAGAGAGCCGCCTCCTCCGCCGCGTTGGACCCGAACAACATGCAGCATCCAGCTGTCTTTTCTCCGGTCTTAGTGCACACACCCCTCACACTGAGGACATTACACTGATTTACGGAGTCAAATACAAAAGCAATTAGTTTGTCTCCGAGCCGTCAGCAGCAGCAGCAGCAGCAGCAGCGGTAGCAGTGCGGGCGTAAAACGGACGTGAGTATTCGGATAATATTCGCATAAAAGCATCTCTCGGCAAAGTTAAAACACATTACGCGTCGCTTATTGTGTTTCTATTGCTTGTACACAAGCTGGTTCGGTGTGCGTAAACTTGGACCCAAGCATGCCGTAGCGTTGTCCCTAAAAGCGCCTGTCACAACTAAATGATGTGAGCAGCTTTCCTGAGAATGGAAGACCAAACTTACCTGACTTCTGCTCTTCACGCCAAAAAAAAGAGAGAAAGAAAGTACGGTTCAGAATCCAAATATCTCCACAATATTCCTTTGTTCTTCTGGGTTTTTTTGTTTTTTTTTAAAGAATATCCCTTTCCTTTAAACTCTTTGTTCCGAGGTGTCTCCAAATAACCATTGGTTCCAACTCACAAAGTCACTATTTCAGGGTATTTGTTGACGTTGATCATTTGTTCTTCTGAATTAACAAGAAGTGTGTGAGTGTGTGAGAGGGAGCTGTGCTTTCTGCAAGAGAAGAAGAAGAAGAAGAAATATACGTGTGACAAATTATGCTACCAAGAAACAACACATCATTATCCTTGGGCCTGGGGCTCAGTGAGTCGTAACGAGAGTAATAGGAAATCCACGGTTGGGGAGAGAAACGGTCGTGCATGGCCGGTGGAGAGAGACCATGCAGGGGTATGGATGCTGGAGAGACTCGCAAAATTATGGCTCAAGGCTATTGTAAAAACTGTCGAGCGTAAATGACTGCGATTTCAAACATCTTTGGAAGAAAGAAAAGAGAAAAGGGGGGAGAAAAAAACCCCGACTCTTTCCCTCGCTGTTATAGAGAGAACCGTCAAGTTTTAGTGCGCATTGCTAATTAGTCAATTTCTCTCTGCCTTCACAGCCCGACGACTTTGCTGCTGAGCTGAAACTGCTAATTTCTGGGACCAGCCTTTTTTTGGCTGTGAACTGGATGGATGAATGGCTTGTCTCGCACAAATGACAAAAAGCCCCTGCCTTAATCTCCATCGCCAAAATAACCCCCTCATCTCATTCTGCTCCTGCTAGTCCTTCAAAAGAAGATGCTTTGCACTAACACAAGTTTTGCATCTGTATAATAAATAGCATCTACCATGATGTCCATATTGTTTATATTGCGAAGTGGAAGCATTTTTAAATTCCTCCTCTCACTCCGTGACAAAGGCACCTCATGCAGCATCACAGCACACATCCTCAAAGTGATGCAAAGTTTACAGAAACAAGCACATAAAGTGGTTTATTATGAACTATGATGTTTGATCAGCTTATTACAAAATTAATCGCCTATTACTGGTTTAAGTTAATATATTATTTAATTTGACAGAAATGAAAGCCTAAGATAAAGTAGAAACACCAAAAACACTATTGTGAACAGTGGTGGTGGCAGCATAATGCTCTGGGAATGCTTTCAGCTGCAGGGACATGCAGGCTGTTCAGGTTGTTTGGAACGTGTAGCTTAAAAAAATAACAAACAGGGCAATCCTGGAAACCTGCTATTGGAGCTACTTTCAGTGCAAATATGTTGTCGTGATGCACCCTTCATAGAGTCATTGCACAGTCACAATATGATGCTGCCAACCCCATGTTCCACCATGAGAATGGTGTGCTAAAGGTGAGGTGTAGTGTTAGCTTTCCACCACACATTGCATTTTGCAAGAAGTCCGAAAAGTTACATTTCAGCTTCATCTGACCAGAGGAGCTTCTTCTACATGTTTCTTGAGCTCACTTTCCACAATTTGCCAATCTTTCCACTGTTCATAAAACTCAGATTTCTGAAATGCACTAACTAATAGTTGACATCTCAACTGATTATCACAATAAAGACGAGGATCTCTGCGGCTCCTTCAGAGTTGCCATGTACATCTTGGCCATTTCTCCTTCCTCAGCCTTTCGGTTTAGATACATAGTCAATTTTTTGTTGGTTTACTGCTTATGCCACACTTTCCAATTTTGATTAGGGAATGAACATGGAGATAAAACTGTTTGATACATATTGAGATTAAAACACCAATTAGGTGATATCTGACAGCAATTAATTGCACCAATATTTATTTATAAGTATAAGAGTAAAGGAGGCTTAATGCACATCATAGTTTTCTGATATACTTATATTTATATATATATATATATATATATATATATATATATATATATATATATATATATATATATATATATATACATATTTTTTTTTTATATAT